GTTATTGCTAGAAATGTAACACTCTAATAGCATCAATTGATGTTTGTAATTAGCATATGGAATAGAATTATATACATATGAGCTTTTTAGTAAATTAGCAGTAAAATTTTTTGAAAATACTGCTCAATATTATACTTTTATAATAAATTATTGAAGCTACAGCTTAAGCTGAGCCACAATTAAGCTGCGGCTCTAAGTTATATCTCAAGCCACAAATTAAACTACAACTTAAGATGCAGCTCAATTACTGTAGCTCATTGGCTTGGGCCGGCTTGGCTCTATTATGCAGCTGAAGCCAGCTTCAAATAAGCCATTAACAACTCTAATTCTGATAACAGTAGAATTATCTTAATTTTTATTATAAAAAAAAAATTATAAATAGCCTTGTTATAAAACATTATTTTATCATATCGGCGGATTTGTGGGATTTGATAAATAAAAAAAACCATGAACCGTAACTCTAGTCAAATTTGCAGAACATTTGACCAGCTCAGAAGTCAAATAATTTCAAACCAGGTCAAACGACCTGTAAATTTGACCAGAGCTGATTTTTCTATTTATCAAACTCTACAAATAATTAATCTCAATTCCGGGTTTAAATAGAGACCCAAACCGATAATTTGGTTTGGGTCCGGGTTTACATAAACCCGGACCGAACCGGGTCGTGCGGAACACTAAGAATTATAATGGCACAAGAATTTTAAATTGAGATTTGGTGCCTCAGGCTGGCTCATTTTAAAAACGATTTTGATTATTACATGATTTTACTCTGAAAATTTAAATATGTTTATAATAATGAATATTTTAAATAAAAATTGTTCGTATTAGATTCAATAAATAAATAAATAAATGCATAAAATAAATAAAAATTCTGTTGACTTTCTATACTATTGCGCTGGTTCAGTATATTTAATCATATGAAGCTTGTGAAATTATTCATTATACGTCATATTTAAAGTTACGATTTTTGTTTGGCATTTGCGCAGTTACTGTGGGATGTCATCTTAAAGTGTGTTAATGATAAGGTTTATTGTATGATGGTGGTGATTTACGTGTTATTAGTCACAATTTTTTATCATATTTATTTATATTTTTTTTTATTAGTTATTTTCCCTGGGCTTATTTGTTATCACCCCGGGTTTTTTATTTGTTACAGTATCATCCCGAAAACTTTAAAACCTTAAAGAGAAAGAAATGACAGAAATGATTAGTAACATGAATCCCCGTCATATCATTCATTTGAACACACTTTGGGTTCAAATAAGCCCATTCCGGGTTCAAATGATCCTATCCCAATCATATGGGATTTCTCAAATCTGATAACCTTTCAAAACTGGTACAAAATTTGTCAGGGTAGACTGTATTCCACCGTGTCGGGGAAATAATCGAAACGTCACCCCGTCGTCCCGGGGAATAAATAGTAATTAATAGCTGTACTATTTTTGTATTAATGTGTTAAAAAAAATGAGGTTTAGTCATACATATTCTCCTGCCGAAATTTCACAAAGTATCGGGGAATATTAAGTACTGTGCCATAAAAAGATTTTCAATCTCTATCGTACGTACGTACTTAGGCGCCATGCTCTGTGCCCTGTTACGTACGTACGTTATCTAGTATTACAGTTTGGATCTTATCAGTTTTCGTAAAAAGATCAATTAAATGTATTTACTTATTTAGCAGTTAGAATAAAAAATATTTAATGCTTGATTAAGTATGAGGCTTTCGTTTAAAGATCATGCGCTTAGAGAAAATTTTTTCATAAGATCTGAAAATATTTTTAGAAACTACATTTAATGGACTTAATAATGTGAAAAATTTCAAATTAATTATTATTATTATTATTATAAAAATTGACGTCAATTCTACGTAGATTGTGTCGAATTTTCCATGCATACGTAACAAAGAGTAAACTTCTGGAAGATTAACCGAATTAATATACTAATACAGACTAACACAGTTACACATTCTGTGCCGGTAATTCTGTAATTAACAAATTTATATAAATAATATATATCGATTATTTCTAAAAAATCACAATTTATTACTCACAAGTTGTCCGCGTCAACACGGCTGATACCGATACTTATGTTGATCTCTGCAAATATTTGTATTGTGCTTTTTTTAAAAACAGGCACTTCTACGTCAAATTAAATTCGCCAAAAATGAAAAGCATTCTTCTATTTATGTTAAGCTGTTCACTATTTAAAGCATAATATTAAACTCCGGCGATGTGATTTAATAATGATACCATCAAAAAATCGTACATTTGTGAATCATCATTTGTAAAAAAAAGAAAGGACTGCCTTAGACAATTAAAATTCTTTATCTAATCGTAAGGGATGCTTAAATTCGGAATAGCTTGGGTAAAATATTTTCTAAAATCTTTCAATTTAAATAATAACCAAAATTTTTATTAGCTTAATAAAGTGCTTTCAGGATTTGAATATTTAAAATTAACTAGATTCGAATTAACGCCGTTTCTATTATTTTTCAAGGTAACATGTATTAAGCAGGAAACTTCTAAGAATGTAAAAATTTTTTGTGGGAGTTTTATTATGTGCATGGAGTTCTCCAAATCTTTCCGCTTTTCAGAATTAAAAATAGATCTTTTTTTTCCATCTCCTTGGAAAAAGCAACTATTATACATAAAATGAATTTATTATGATTCGTATATATCGTTATATTCTATTGATTTTCTATAAAAACCCTTCATTTCTTACTTTGAAATAAAGTAACTTTTATAGTTTAAAAAAACCTGCCTTTCGAAGATGAAATCTCTTTTCCTTATCTTGGTCATTTTCACTATTACCGTTCACGCTTTTCGAGATCAATATAACTGTTTTTTTGATATTTCTGATGAAGACGACCTTACGTGCGAAAAGCTTTTCGGTGTAGATTCTTGCAGCGATTGTCAAAAATTAATCTTCAAAGATTTTAAAGAAGAAAATGATTGTTCAACAACTTTTAATTTTATTAAAGAAGTTACAAAAGAAGTTAAAGAATCTGGCAAAAGCAAAGAAGAGATTGACCCTTATGATCTTACCTATTTCAAGAAAGGATTAGAGAATTATTGTGATCAACCATTCAATTGTGATCCTCATACCGTCAAAAAATATTGGACAGAAATTGAAGATGTTTGTTCTAAAGAATTGAGTGAGAAAGTAGATTGGAGCAGTGATCCTACGAAAATTGATGTAACAGAGCTTCTGGTTTATTCCACATTATTAAATTATTATTTTGGAATCCCGGCAAACCATGCTCTTTGTTATAAACCTTCAAATTCTGACGGTAAATAATTTCGTTTGTACTTATTGTCTTAATGTTGCGACTGATGCGGAAATTGGGGTATTAATAAAAGTATATAAAATAGATTTTAAAAATTAAATTTCAAAGATTAAATTTCAAAGATTAGATTTCAAAGATTAGATTTTAACAGGGTTTACATCTAAATAGAAATTCCAAATTTCAGTGTCAACATCAGTCGCGACAATTATTCATGAAATTTCATAAATCTTATATTTCTTTATTAAATAGATTTTTGCGTGGTTGGAATTACCGAGAATCTCATGGAGTATGCCAAGGAGGTTACCGATAGTGATCCAAAACCTAAATTCACCATTGATTTCAAATATATTATCAAGAGCGATGGTTCTAAAGTACCCGTCCCTAAGAAAGTCTTTTGTGATGAAAAATGTTTCGAATCGATGGCTAAAATATATAAATCTTGGATAAAAAAGTATAAATTAGATTCTGAAGTATTCGAAAATATTTACGGTTCTGAAGAAGGATTTAATGATTATCTTGATTGTAAAACTGAAGATAAACGGGATGTTTTTAGAAGAACATCTGATTCTTATTTATCACCTCTTCATTCATTGGCAGGACTTTTTTAATTCCTGCGAATGATTGAACTATAATGATTTTATAGGATAATAGTATGAATATTAATGATAATAAATAATAATTAGTGAGACTAACTATTCGTAACTTTTTTTATTCTCTTTAAAATTATCATCCTTGAAATTATTCTCATTAAAGTTAATAAATATTCAATAAAGTTCGAATAAAAAATTTTCATCGAATTTGGGTAAGTGGTTGTCGAGGTATCTTCACACAAATTAAATAATTATTGCATCGATACGTATAAAATACTTGATTAAATTGTGTATGATCAATTATTGGTACATACTTACGTACGTATAAATCAGATTTCACTCATTATAATTAGCACTAGACCAAGATTGATTTTGCGGTTACCGCAGTTAGGAGAAATAATGAATGTTATTCATGTATATTATTTCCGAGTGTAAATGTTGTGATTCATCTTAATTTATGCGACTTAGATAATTAAACCTTTAATTGCTTAAGATCAAGTTATATATATTTCTAACATGTTTAAAAATTTGCATATTTCTACGTATTTGATCTGCACAGTACGTGTTTATTTGTTACGTATCACTATATGGGTAATTTTGAACCCGGACCAATTTTATATACGTATGACGTAATAACATTTTGGTCTGGATTCAAAAATTATAACCCATATATATATATATTAAGATTCTGTTGGCCCATATATAAATTATCAGAATAAAAGCTAATAAAGATATATTAAATGAATAAATTATTACGTAGAATAAATAGCTAATAAAGATATATTAAATATAGGCAATTTCTATTTGTAACCTAGTGTACATAACTCAAAATTTTGCTTATGAAACCACTTTTCGGGTCTAACAAAAAAAAAAAATCAATGTAAAATTTTAGTCTGACCCTAATCTATTTTAATTTTAATTCGATTTCTCTAAATTTTTTTTTTATAATTTATACCTGTGTTTTATATACTATGTCTAATATATGTTTATAATAATTGGGGTAACCAATTTTATATATATGACGCAGTAACATTTTGGTCTGGATTCAAAGATAATCATCCCATTTATATAATTTAACATGATTAATTATTTAATTAAACCACAATGTTATTACGTCATATATAAAATTAGTCCAGGTTCAAAAATAATTACCCACATTGATATGTATTAAACTGTTAAAACGAGCTACATCAGTTACAGGCTAACATGAACGGTAGCCACGTTTCCCTGATTATTCCTATTTTCCTTCTACACGTACTGTACGTACGTTCTTCACCGACAGATCATTTAGCCGACATCACGCCAAGTGACAATTTATTAAAAATTTATATCTGCGACTAATTAAATGCTAACCCTAACCCTATGTGATGTCGGCTTCGGTGAGCGGCACCGATTTATCCGACATCACATAGGGTTAGGGTTAGCAATTGATTAGCTTCTAATAAATCGCCATCCTGCGTGATGTCGAGTAAGGAATTGACTGTCTGGAACTATTTATAAAATTTACATTGAGGTTCTTTTATACTTGAAACATAGTGTTTTAATTACATAAATTAGGTAACTGCTAAAAATAGTTCATACGTATCAAATCAACTAATTCAACCCGGTTTGAATCCACTTTAACTATTAGCATCCTTATTAAACATCCACGATGAAACAATAGAGCGATAGAAAAAAGGATTTTCAATACGTAGAACAATAGAATACCAATAGAATATCAATGCTGATCATATACTGTTTATTATGCATATACGTACGTATAACGGTAAAAAAAATTTTACTCCTAAAGGATATCTGATATATCATTAAATTCCAATTTTGATAAATAATAATGAATGTTTAAATAAAATTGTACTAGATTCAAAAAAAAAAAAAAAACGGTCGATTTTCTAAACGTACTATAGCATAGATATGACGCAGTAAATTTACTTCTTTTGAGCTCAAAAACTAGTAGTTTTTTAAATCCACGTGAATATGTGTTAACGATAAGAAATAGAGATAGAGATAACGATAAGATTGTGACACTGAAAGTTAATACCAATTGCTGTTAATTGATAATGTGTAGACTAAATTTATCAATCGGAAATTAATAACCGATTATGACATAAATGGCATAGATAAAAATGGACGAATTTATTTTTTAACGCGTTTTATCTTATAAAATTTTTTTTATTTTATTTTATCGATACAATTAATAATACAATTGATAATATGAATTGGTACATAGCAAAAGGAGCTTTTGCTCTTTTTTGCTATATACCAATTCAAATTGGAGAAACTTTTTATTCGTATATATATATTTATATATTTATATATTTATAAAAAAGAAAATGTTCTTATTAAAAGAATTTTTTTTCTTTTACTTTATACATTTAATCTCTATTTAATTCTATATTATTTTTACATCTTAATATTTTGATCGACTTCCAAAGATTGATGGAAGTTGAGTTGGTTCTTCGTACATTGGCTCATATTGAGGCATCAAATCATCATAGTATTCATCATATTCATGTATATTTGAATTCATATTTACATAATATCGATTCATATTTTGAGGAATCATAAGGTAATCAGGAAATTGGTAAATTTGTTCGAAAAGATTGTGTTGTCCATAATTTATAATATCATAAGTTGATTGATCGTTTGTGGTTACTTGATTCATATCAACATATTCATATTCATTCGAATAAATAGGATTTTCCAAAGGCATTAA